CAATTGGGTCGTGTTCTCGGCTTCTAAGTTCTATGACCAGGGAGCCTGTTGTAATTAGTGGAATTGGATAGTTGAGGAGATGTAATGACGTGCAAAATAACCACGTGAGGTTACATTGATTTTTGGAACATGATGTCTTAATGTATTTTTTGAATCTACTTTATTTGTGGAATGTTTTTGAAGATTTTTGTGTAAATTTAAAGTATTACTTTTAAAAAGTTCAACAGTCCTTATCTTTTGTCAAGTCCTCTTGTGTTGATATGTGATGTTTATGTATGCTTCCATGGTTGGTAGATATCCGCTGGCACCTTGTGGTATTCATTCTTCATGTATATGTTTCACATGTCTGTATTTTACAGCAAAGTTTAAGGACCAGCTGTGAGGAACCTTAGTCGTTTATCTTCTGTTTGCGAGGATGTTCGAGTATTATTTCATTGCAGACTACACTAACCTCAATAATGTTCAACATGCACAAAAGAAGTGTCTGAGGCTGAACTGAACTTTTCCCAATCTCTATTAGTTGACTCTAAAATGAGTTTTCGGGCTTGTAGACTGTCCATCAAAGTGTTATTTTAGTTCCCATCTAAATCTTTACTATGCTGCAGCTAGTCCTGCTCCTCATCACCCATGTCCTTGCTGACTTGAATACTTTGCAGAAGACACAAGCTTCTTTCCTGAAATAGATTGTATCCTGAGGGCTTAAGAAGTGAACAAATACATTGCTGGGACTGGAGGGTTTGAGTTATAAGGAGAAGCTGGATAGGCTGGGACTTTTTTCACTGAAGCGTAGGGGGTTGAGAGGTGACCTTCTAGAGGCTTACAAAATCTTGAGGGGCATAGATAAGGTGAATACCAAAGCCGTTTTCCATAGGGTGAGGGTGTTCAAAATTAAGGGCATGTTTTTTAAAGCGAGAAGAGAAAGATTTAAAAGGGACCTGAGGGTCAACTTTTTCACACTGGGTGGTTCGTACGTGGAATGAACTGCTACAGTAAGTGGTAGATGCAGGTACTCTTAGAACATTTAGAAGACATTTGGACAGGTACATGAATAGGAAAGGTTTAGAGTGATATGGGACTAGGTTAGCTTGGGAAACATGGTTGAAATGGATGAGTTGGACTGAAGGGTCTGTTTCTGTACTGTATGTCTCTGTGAATACCAAAGAATGTCTGATGTGCTATTTAACACAATGCTGGAGGCATGGTTGGTGAGATTGCCTTAAACCAAAAAGGCTACCATGTGAAATAACATGACCAAAATGAGGAGAACTGGAACTGGAAAAACTAACACCACTTTGTAAAATGCCTCCTTTGTTGATTAAAAATGCTAACCCACCTCACATGTAGGCATTGTGATCAGCAGCCTGCAGGAATAAAATAGATTTGTAATGTCATCTCAGTCTGACGTCCTGAGGATTGGCCAATCTTTTTATGCAGACTATATGACAGACAGTCCACAGATAGCACAGCCTCCGGGTCATTCCTGTCCTCTGTCACAGAGGTCTTGGATGACAGCACATGGTAGAGGCTGGACCAGCCGTTATTTCTGGATGAGCTAAGCAAGGCCTCAAACCCTCTGAAAAGAATAAAACTCCTCGGAAGGGATGGCTTACTGGCAGGGATTTATTCAGCTCTGTGGGACTTGATAGGCCAGGGTCTGCTGGCCGTGTATGATAGTATGTTTCTGGCAGGTAGCATGTGTGAATCCATGAGGCAACGTATCATCACCCTCATTTACATGCAGAAGTGGGAGAGGGAAGAAATTAGAAATTGGCAACCAATGTCACTATTGAATGTGGATTACAAAATACTGTCTTAAGGTCATCGCCAACCAAGTCAGGTCTGCTGTCGGATCAGTGGTTCACCCCAACCAAACCTGTGCTGTATTGGGCAGGACCATCTCCGAGATTCCTGTGTTCTTTTGGGACACATTCACCTACATGTAGGACAGTGGGATGGATACCTGTTTCATCAGCCTGGACAAGGAGAAGGCATTTGACAGGATATTGCACACCTATATCGGGGATGTGCTGTCCAAAATGGACTTTGGGCAGGGTATCTGCACTTGGATACAACTGCACTACACCAACATCAGTAGTGCAGTCTCAATCAGTGGATGGAAATCTGAAAGCTTCCCAGTCGGAAGGGCTGTTCACTCTGTCCTGCCTTGTTTGTTAGTTGTATAAACTCTTTGCTGAATCCATCAAAGAGGATATGGGCCTGAGAGGGGTACCTATTCCAGGTAGAGGAGGCCTGCTGATCAAAGCCTTCTTCTACATGGATGACATTGCCATTTTCTTCTCAGATCCACCAAGGTAAATCGAAGCAAGAGCAACGCCATGTTCTTTGGGAACTGGGTTGACTGGTCCTTAATACCCTTCACCATCAAGACAGATTACCTGAAGGTGCTGGATATATGGTTGGAGGGCTGGGGTGTGCGCCTATACTTGAGAGGAACGTGTTGCCAAGGTGAAGCAGCAACTGGGTAGATGAGAGCACTCTCTACTGCAAGTAAACACCTGGTCATCAGGTGTGAGGTACTCTGCTTTGTTGTGTGTGGCATAGGTCTGGCATGTTCCCCAAGCCTGCATCACTCCAGTCACCTGAGCCATCTTCCACTTCATCTGGAGGTCAAAGATGGACTGGATCTGAAGGGACATCATGTAAAAAGCGCTAGACAAAGGAGGGAAGAATGTAACCAATACCCCCCCTCATCTTGATGGCCACCTTTGTGAGTAGCTGCGCCAAGCTGTGCATAGACCCTTGGACTGCAAATACCAAGTGTCGCTACATACTGAAGTTCTACCTGACCCTGGTGTTATGAAGGATGGGCTTACCTTTGTTGCTGGGAATGCTGCAAGTAGCTGGACTGTTCCATATCACCTGTCCCTCATGGAAAAATTCGTGAAAGAAAACACTTTTGACCACAAGTCCATCAGGCAGTGGTCAGCACATAGCATCCTCAAGACCTTGTGCGAAAAAGAGAGGGCGGATCCTGTTAGGTTGTTTCCTTGAGCAGACTGTCGAAGTCATTTGGCAGAATGCCTCATCACCAGAACTTTTCAACAAGCACCAAGACATTGCCGTTCTCACCACCAGCCAAGCAGTGTCAGATCCTTCATGCACATTCAGACCCTGTCCACCACCACACGCTGCCCTCAAAGTGTCTGTACTGCTGAAGAGATGGTCACACATCTCCTTCTGAATGTGCCTTTGCAAAGCAGGTCAAGAGAGAGATGCAATGGTTTTTGCCGAGGTTCATCCCGAGTAGCTCTGTGACGCAGGAATCTCTACTCTATGTTCTGTTCCCCAGGACGCACATCTGCGCCTAGAGGACGACCAATGTGATGAAAGATGTTCCTTGGTCCATTCAAAATTTGTCAGTCTTCCAGTGCAAAGAGTTGACTTCAATGGAGTGTTGTAAACTGGCATCTATAAAGTTCCAGGACTACGTGCTGAAGGATGCACTGAAGCTTGGGGCAGACTTTAGATTCTTGATAGGTAATGAAATCAACATCCTTTGCCTTGAAGATATTCAGTGGCCCATCTCCTCCATCTTTTGAAGTGGAGAGTTACAAAGTTGCACAAACTGTTGAGGCAAAGGAAGTTTCTTTGTCTCTGTACAATGAAGGCAGTCCTTAATTTTAAAACAGTGACCCCTACTTCTGTGTTTGCCCACAAGAAGAAACATCCATTTTGACATCCACTTGTCAAGACCATTCAGGGTCTGATAAAGTTTAATGAAATCACTCTTGCTCTGCTAAACTCTAGTGGACAAAAGCACATTATCAATCTCATAAACCTCCTCTGAACCACCATCTTTTAAATAAGGAGATCAAAACTGCAGATGGCATTTGAGATATTGCCCTGTATAATTGAAACATAGCATCCTTATTTTTCTGTTCAATTTCACTTGTAATACAGGATAGCATCCTTTAGCTTTCTTAATTACTTGCTGTACTTGCCTAATTGGGAGTCAAGAGTCAACCACAGTGCTGTGGATCTGAAATTGCATATAGACTAGATCAAATAATAATGGCAGTCTCCTTCCTGTTAATGACGTTAGTGAATCAGATGGGTTTTTCCAACAAATTGACGTTGTTGGTTTCACAGTCTTCATTAGACTCTTTAATTCCAGATTTCTAATTGAATCCAAATTCCAACATCTGACATGGCGAGATTTGAACCCGGGTCCCCAGATCATTTCCGGTGTCTCTGGAATAACAGTCTACCAATTAAAACCACTCGGCATTGGATTTTTCACAATATTCTTTGTCACCTATCATTATTGCCTGCAAGTACAGCAACCATTCCTTCACCTCCACTAAGTTATTACAAATTGTGGGGAGAAAAGAAGCCCCAGCACAGACTCCTGCAAGACCCCATTTGTCACACTCTGCCAATCAGGAAAAGAGCGATTTATGCATACTGATTGCCTGGCAGCAAACAATCTTTTTTTATTCTTGCATCATGACCATTTTGTTAAGGAGCATTTTATGGAAGAAAAGGAATAAATTTGCTCCATTTTCATTTATTGCACCGAACTTTGGTCATAAAGCTGTTGTTATTGTGGAGCAAGTAGTGAGTATTTGTGCTTGTACGTGTATTTGGACTAATTATCCACAAAGTTCTAAACAAAACAGGGTTTCTTCTAATTGGTGTCTTGAAGCCTGCTGTATTAAAATTTGCACTATCTTAGTGACAGTGTATTATTTGGAGCTCATGTATATTATTAGGAAAATAACAACCTTTGAACACGAGAAAGTTGTGAAGAGATCAAAAACAACAAAGCTTGTTTGAATGGTGTATATTGTATAATCGTTAGAGCTTGTCCTGTTTTTTTAAAGCACAAGCAAGCCTACTCTTTAACCTATTGCAATGTCTTCATAGCATGATGTGATGAATATTCCATCATATTGCTGTACAAGATTGTGAAACCTTTTATGCATGATAGTGATACTGACAATTGAATGTTGTAACAATGTGGCTTATTTATTGTACAGCCGATTCATTTTGCACATTCCAAGTGAAGAAAGAGACAATGCGATCAGAGTATGCTTTCAGATTGAGTTGGCCCATTGGTTTTACTTGGACTTCTACTTGCAGAACACACCAGGATTGCCTCAGTGTGGGATAAGAGATTTTGCCAAATCAGATATCCTTTAACTGCATATGGGATAGATTTTGTTAACATCCGCAAAATATTTTTCCTTGCAGACATGTCGTGAACTGATCACTAGATGAGTAGCAATATATTGCAGCCTTTGGAAATAGCAGGTTAGTTTTTGATAGTATGATCTGCTTTGCACACTGTTTGTTGCGCTCAGTTCATTCTTTTCTGGGACTTCAAAACTGTGGAAAGCTCCGTTCTCCTCCTCCCCCCGCCCCCCAACCCCCCCAAACTTCATACTTATTTTCAATTCAAATCCAGCTTTTAAAAGGCACGCTGAGAATCTCCTAATCAGTGTTTGATTTAACTGATCTTTCCTCTTGTGACTGATTTGTCACTTTTGGAGTCTGGTGCCTTCTGGATTCAAATCCATTCCACATGGCAAGAAAATCTGTTGGTTGAAAGTCATGGAGCTAAAATGTTGTTTATCCCTTAACTATTGTTGCCAAAATGTTGCTTATTCCTTAACTGCTGTTGTACTCTTCAATCATTGTTCATTTTTACTTCGGAAAGGAGATGACGTGGAAAAGATTTTAGATGAATGGAAGGAATACAAGATGGGAGTCCCAACATATGGTGCAATTATATTAGATGAAACACTGGAAAATGTAAGTCATAACTTGGAGTGGCTTCTGCAGTACCAGATTTCATTTTTGGGAAATGTTAAAGACATTCACATCTGTGCACAAGTCTAGATTTATGTTACATGAAATAAATGTCAGGTCTTTGCCAATTGATAAGGAAGACAGATGATATTAAAAAGACGAAATGTTATGCTAAGCCACTGACTCCGTCACTGGAAGGCTTTTTAAATTTACGATTATCAACAGAAACATGGAGTCATTTATGGTAGAGAAAATAATCTGTTTAGCCCATCAAGTCGATGCTTTGCAGGGAGCCTGCAATCTTGACAAGTCCTGTTTGCTGACTTGATCCCATAGCCCTGTAAATTTGTTTCCTTAAAACTTTCCTTAAAAAGTTTCCTATCTCAATAATTGATTATTTCTAGTTCATCACCCTTTTAGGCATTAATTGCTGCCTAAGGGAAGTTCTTTCCCATATTCCCCTTTAATTTCTTTCCCAAAACCTTAAATCTGTGTCATTAGTCCTTGTAGAATCAGCAAGAATAAATTACAATGTAGAAGACAACTCAATTTTTTTCTGTCCCAAAGATCAAGCATCCACATCCACTTGGGGTAGAAGAGTCCCCAACTCCTTTCAGCAAAGACATGCTAGACTATCATTAGTTGTCAGCCTCAATTTTTTTTTGCCATACGAATGCATGCTTCACTTATACTGCTTTATAACTGGGTCCAAGGAATCAATGGGGCCGTAGAGGATGTGTTGTGAAAATACAAATGTTTTTGGAGATGGAAAGCCCTACCAGAAACTGTCCTCGAAGCAGAATTAATAATAATGCTCAAAGAAATGGCTCCTGGTCCACAGGTAGGGACGCTACCACTGCACCACTCGAGCCCCTTCAGATAACCACTGATTCTGGTACAGTTGTGCTTATTCCTGACTAATAAATAGATAAACAAGCTGCACTGTGACCTGCACTTATAGTCCTATTCCTGAAAGGGTATCACTGTCTTCTTGTGGATATTGATAAATTAGGGTTTTCTTGCTTTCTTTTCTTTTAGTCAGATGTCGGCATTGCTAAACGGGCTAGTATTTGTATCCCTAATTGTCCTGAACTGAATGGCTTGCTGCGCCAATTTAGAGTCAATTACACTGTGCTGTTCCTGTCCTGGGAGTGACTGGGGACAGTGTAGAGGAAACTTTACTTTTAATTTAAGAGTAGAGTCAGTTACATTGCAGTGGGTCTGGAGACATATGTAGCCAGACTGGGTAAGGACACCAGTTTTCCTTCCCTAAAGGACATTAATGAACTGGTTAAATCTTAACCCAATTAACAATTAAATCAGCTTTTAATTCAGAATTTTTCTTAACTGATTTTAGATTTTACTGTTTGATGTAGAGCTTTAGCTTGGTTCTGTAGAATATTAGGCCTGTGATAATATCGGTATACCCACTGCTCCCTCTTCAATAACCTGCCTGCCTCCTCTTAACCTGTAAGATGGAAAACGTGTCTAACTAGGTACATAAAATGTGGTCATATACCAACTTTTGTTAAGTACAGAGCAATACAACCTAAATTTTGCACATAATCAAAAATTTCGTGAAAACAGCATTAAGATCTTACCGTAAGACAAATTGGGGAAAATGTTACCTTGGCTGAATAAAGCACTACAATTTTGATCCCAGAAGAGAAGCTATCTATGAATAAGTACTTGTCTGCCAGTCATGTTTGTATATTTAATTGACAATCAATTAGAAGATTCATCTGTGAAATGAAGTAAATGGGAACTGGAAATGTAATTAATAATGAAATTTTTGGTCAGTACTTCCTGCTGTAGGTTTATAGCACTACATTGCCATGATGTTGAAATAAAATAAAATGAAATAAGACAAATGGATAGAAATAAGAATTTTCACAAGTAGAATTCACTGCACGATATACCAGTCAGCTAAAGCAGGCAAAGTCTAGCGATATTGGAGAGGTGGATATGGGTGGCTTTGAAACAACAAATATGAAGCCAGAAACTTATTTTAGGATCAGAAATGACTCGGTTGCAAAACAACTTTGTTTAATCTCAGATTATTACCAGGAAGAAGGATAGTATAGAGGGAACAGAGTTTGGAGGAGACCAAAAGCAATGGTTTCAGTCCTTCCAATATTTAATTGGAAGAAATTGCTTCCATGAGCAATTTAATAATTACCTCAGTGGAGGAATCAAGGGAGGTGGTGGTGATGTAGAGCTAGTTGTGGTCAACGTATTATGAAAGCTTAATGCAGTTTCTTTTGGTGATGTTTCTAAGGGGCAACATACAGATGAGAAATAGGGGTCTAGCACACCAGAAGTGATGGTGCAAGAGCAGGAAGAGAGGAGCCATTGCAAATGATTTTCTAGCTATGATTAGTTAGGAAGAATGGCTCAGTGACAGCAATAAAATGCAAAGCACTGCAGAGAGCAAAAAAAGGATGTTGCTCCCTTAAATCCTTAAATTGACTCCCTTGCCTTTCCTAGTGCTAATAAAACAAAAATAATATTGTATTTAGAAAGTTCAAATCTAAGCAAACAGCAATGTAAAAATTGTTCCTGTTCCTATTTAAATAGGTACTTCTTGTTCAGGGTTATTTGGCAAAGTCTGGTTGGGGATTTCCAAAGGGTAAAGTGAACAAAGAGGAGGCCCCACATGATTGTGCTGTGAGGGAGGTAAGGCATTGATGTGTGTTTTTTCAAATCAATTTTTATTTGGATTATTGTAATTTTTATGTAAACATGTATTTATTCTCAGTAATCTTTTTTTAAAATAGTGGCATTGTTATTTCTAAAATGTTTTAGAGCATTTGGACAGGCTTTCACTCAAGTGCCAATTGGCAACACAGAATCTAGTGTGTAACATTTAAACTTTTTATCCTCATGCAACAAGTGTAAATGTGGTAAGTTTTAAGTACTCCATTTAGGATTTGGAAAAGACTTGAATTTCTACATTACCAAATATCTTGATGATATTTTAAATTTGTTGTTTCGCACGTGATTGTTGCTGAGGCACGTTAATTTATAGAGCATCTCTCCACTTTTGGTTTTAAAAGAAAAACCTGGTCAATCTCCAACATGTCACCACCACCACCATAGCTGTTCAGAGATGAATGGGGCATGTTATCATAGAGAGATGCTCTGATGTGCTGCCATTCTTCAGATGATGAATATAAATATTATAAAATAATTTTCAAAAGTAATTAGCATAGAATTGTATGGAATTTGATTTAACTCTGCATACTTGGTTTTATTTTATGTATATTTAGCATTTTGTGATAAGTTTTGTATGTTTTCTTTAAGGTTCTTGAAGAAACTGGGTTTGACATAAGAGATCGTATTTGTAAAGATGACTTCATTGAACAGAGAATCAATGATCAGTTAGTTCGACTATATATCATCCCAGGTGTTCCAAAGGATACTAAGTTTAACCCTAAAACAAGAAGAGAAATCCGGGTATAAAATATTTGATTTTGGAGATCAGCCTTGCTTTGTTGTATTTTTAAAGACAGCCCAGAAATTTTGTCAAGGAGTAATTCAGTGCAATGGAGTTGTAAGACTGCTGTGTTGCATTGAAGAGAATATCTTTTTTGGTCTCTTGTAATCCAAGTTCTCTTACAGTAATTGATTGAATCATGTTTTATTTTACTTAGGGGTGTTGATGGCATAATGGTCATTATCACTGGATTAGTAATCCTGGCCATAAACTAATGTTCTGGGGATATGGGTTCAAATTCTACAATGGCTGTTGTGAAATTTGAATGATACAAAATCTGCATTAGGGACGAGGCTAGCTAAATGGCACCATGTAACCACTGTAGATTGTCATAACCAATCACCTAATCCAGCAATGTCCTTTTTAGGGAGTTAAATCTGCCACCCTGAGTTAGTCTGACCTACATGTGACTCTAGTTCCACAGCAGAATGATTAGTTGACTCTTAATTGCCCTCTGGGTAATTAGGAATGGGCAATAAATGCTGACCTTGCCAGCGATGCTCACATTCCATGAATAAATAAAAAATTATGAGATGCATATTTCACAAAACTAATGCAAGTCGTCAGGATTTAATCGCCAAATTGAACTTGCTTTGCTATCCTTGGTCAATTACCAAAATGCCTGCCTTTCACTTCCTCTCTACTCTCTCCTCTTCTTATTCTCTACCTTCAACTCCAGGTTTGATGTGTTCTGTACTTTGTTTGATTTTCCTGTATCATTTTTCCTCCACTTTCAGCTTGCTTATAGCCAAAACCTAAAATTTATCCACATTCCATCTTCTCTGTCCTGTATCTGTGTGCTAATTTCAAAATTCTCATCTTTTAAAATTTCTCCATGCCTTTACTCAGTCTTATTTTCCTGTATGTACTTTCTATTCCTAATACAGGAATTCTCCTTATCCCAGATTGATGCTAATCTCTGTGTCACGATGCTGTGCTCTGCACTTGTGTTCGGGTCCTCTGCTTTTCAACTGCTTGCTGTTTTCAAAATTTTTCACAAAAATTCATCTTCTTAAAGCATGTACCCAGTTCTTATCCCAACTCCTGTTTGACCTGCTTTTCATTTTTCTAAGCGCTGTCCACTCAATGTGTTCCCCTTTTAATTAGTAAAGTGCTGGAAGATGCCATGCTACAGGTTTTTAAGTGATAAAGAATTGCAAGCTTTTAATCTTGCTATGTATTTGTTTTCCAGAATATTGAATGGTTTTCCATTGAGAAGTTGCCATCTCATAGGAATGACATGACACCCAAGTCAAAACTGGGTTTAGCACCAAATAAGTTTTTCATGGCAATTCCATTTATAAGGTATGGTTGGACTTCTTTTAACTTTCAAAATCTATTTTAAAAAAATACTTTTGTATCCTGTCTGATATGGATTCATGTTCATAGCCTAAACTATCAATCCAGAATTATATTTTCATTATGTAAAATTCTGGTTTGTTTCTTGGATGAACAAAGGCCATCGCATTCTTCAAAACTGGTTCAAGATGGTTTATATAAAGCTTGCTTTGTTGATTTGAGTTTGGCAGATTTGTTGATATCTTGTCCTATACACATTTTACATTAACTTAGTTCAGTGTTTTAGTAATCGATCGTTGTTGTTGTTGTTATTATTGTTGCTATCACAGACCACTAAGAGACTGGATATCCAAAAACTATGCAGACTCTTCAGACAGTGATGGCCTTGTATCCAATAGTGCAACTCCATCAAAAACTTCATTGGAAAAAATAAATGCAAGGTAAGTGTATCTCCAACACCCACTTCCCCGCACCCCCACCTCCCCCCCCCCCCCCCCCCCCCCCCCCCCCCCCCCCAAGCCTAACCGCTGCCTCATTGCCTTCAATCTCATAGTCTCCTAACCCTGCTTCTATCTCCTTCCCGAAATCCAAAGACAGAAATGTCCAGGCAGACCCATTGTCTGCTTGCTCCTGCCTACGGAATTGATCTCTTCCTACCTGGGTTTTTTTCTCACCTTCCCACTAATATCTGTGATTCCTCAGATGCTTTATGTCAGTTTCAGAATTTCCAGTTTGTGGGCTCCAGCTGCCTCCTCTTTACCATGGATGTGCAATCCCTTTTCACATGTCCATTCCCCCATCAGGATGCTCTCAGGGCTCCTCACTTCTTCCCGGAAAAAAGAACCTGAACTGTCCTCATCCATCACCATCACCATCCCCTTGTGCCTGGCAGAGCTTGTCCTCACTCTGAACAACTGCTCTTTTAACTCCTGTCATGGGCCCCAGTTTGCTTGTCTTTTTGTGGGGTACATGAACATTCCTTGTTCCATTCCTACTCCAGCCCCCACCTATCTTTCTCCAATGCAGTGATGATATCGTCAGTGCTGCTTCCATCTCTCGACCGGAACTGGAAAAGTTTATCAATTTTGCTTTCAATTTCCAACCCCCTCTCACCTTCATCTAGTTCATCTCTGACTCCTCCCTTCCTTTGCTCAACATCTCTGTTTCCATTTCAGGAGATAGGCTGGGCACCAATATCCACTACAAACCCACCGACTCCAACAGTTACCTTGACTATACATCCTCACACCTTGCTTCCTGTAAAGACTGTTCCATTCTCCACGTTCCTCCATCTCTGTCGCATCTGTTCTGATGATGCGAACTTCGACAAGAGGATCTCCAAAATGTCCACCTTCTTCCTCAAGTGAGGATTCCCCAGCACCATAGTAGACAAGGCCCTCACTTGGTTCCGACTGATCTCCTGCACTTTGGCCCTTACCCCCACTCTTATCTCCCACAACAACGATAGGGTCTCACTTGTCCTCCCCTACCATTCCCACCAGCATCCACATCCAGAGGATCATTAGCCGCCACCTCCAATGGGATGCCATCACCAGACACTTACTCCTCTCCCCTCCCTTGTCAGCCTTCTGCAAGGACTGTTCCCTCCAGGACACCCTTGTCCCCTCATACTTCAGTCTCAAACCCTCCTTCCCCGACCACCAACCCCACCCCTCCACCGTCCCCTCATGGCACCTTCTCCTACCGCAGGAGGTGTAACACTTGCCCCCTTACTCCCTCCTCAATATCCAAGGGCCTAAATATACCTTCTGGGTGAAGCAACACTTTACCTGCATTTCACAGAATCTAGTCTACTGAATGTGCTGCTCACCCATGTGGTCTCCTTTATGTTCGGGAAACGAAGCATAGACTGGGTAACGGCTTCACAGAACACCTATGTTCTGTCTGCCAAAGAAGACCCTGAGCTTCCTATTGGCTGCCACTCCAACGCACCACGCTGTTCCCTGGGCAATATCTCTGTCTCAGGCTTGCTGTAGCGCTCTAGCGAAGCTCAGCGCAAGCTGGAAGAAACACACTTCATTTTCCGCTTGGGGAACTTGAAAGCTTTCTGGACTCAATATCAAGTTCAACAATTTTAGAGCTTTAGGTACCTTCTGCTATGTCCTTACCCCAACCCCCACACACCAGGCCTTGTTATCAAATGATCATCTTTTACTTTTTTTGTGTGTGTGTAAGTGCAGGGACTCAGTAAAAACACCATGTGCAAAATAATTTTATTCAACATCTCCCTCTCTAAGGTCACCCAGGCTCGAACATAACCATGGAAGTGGGGCAGATGATCTGTTATTTATACTACCCATTGTTAGCCACTAATAGTCTCCATTAGCAGTTATTCATTCTCCTAGGCTGACCACTATCCACTCCTTTGCCTGTCTAACTGTTCTTCTCTCTCTCTCTGGGCTCCATCCCCACCTATCGTTTACTCCTACCTCCTCACCCCACCTTCTCTTCTGCATAAAAACCAACTTTTTCCTAGCTACGATCAGTTCTGAAGAAGGGTCACCGGACCCAAAATATTAACTCCGATTTCTCTCCATAGATGCTGTTAGACCTGCTGACATTTTCCAGCCATTTCTGTTTTTGTTTCTGATTTCCAGTATCCACAGTTCTTTTGTTTTTTTTTAAATTTAGTAAGGGTATGACTGACCTCTAGAAAACTTAGGGACTTCTTTGCTAGTATCCTGCAATTTTCTTTTTGCTGGGTCAGTAATGGAGAGATACCATAGTTCACCTGCTGAAAAATGAAAATACAGCAATTTATTTTAAATTGATAGTGCTCTTTTTGAAAACACATCTAGACTGTGGTTTAAACCAACAACAGCACCTCAGGTTTTGACTCAGTAAAGACTACCTGCTTGTCGATGTAGTGTAATCCCTGCCAGAGCACGCGTGATTGCTCTCTGTTATTTGCTTTCTGTGTCTCGCTGTCTTTATGATCTCATTCTCATCCATTTAATATGGTTATGTAGCATTCAATTCATCCATACTATTATGGATTCAGTCCTTCAGTTTTGTTCTACACCTGGTATGGCAATACCAGAATATATTCATGGATTTTTATGGAAACTGTTGTTCTGTGCCCCATCTCCTACATGACATACTAAGATAAAACCAACCTTTTTCTTCTTAGTCCCTGAAGTAGGAAAAGAGGCTTTTTATTTTTCAGAAATAAAAAAAACACTAAAGTAGAACTTGTATCTAGCAGGTTATATGTTCAATGATGAAATGCATGAATACTGTATTATTGAGAAACATTTATCATACTTTTGCTCATGTCACTTGCTTACTGTTTAATCTCTGTGTATGTACTGGTAATATTAAGCAAAAGACTTGCAACGTTAGTGCCTGCAGGATTGTACAGGAGGGACATTTCCTATTGGGTGAATTTTTTGCATCAGGACAGGTTAAGTTGAAGAAATGATACTGTGACGAAAGTAAACAGTGCATTGGGCAACGATTTAATCTGATATGAAGATGGCTTGATTCCCTTCCTGATCAAAAATGCACTTTTGCATCTACCCTACCAAGCCCCCTAAGAATTTTATATGCTTCAATAAGGTCACTTCTCATCACACAGTGTAAAATAATAGAAGTGAAATGCAGGGGGTACACACATCACTGTTATACTTTATTTACAGCATAAGTCACTTCAGTGATGCAACTTGCCTTAAATCAAACTTACCAGCAGAGAGTCTTCTCACTGGCACCCTCAACTGACTACTTGTACATCGTAGAGATCGCAATAATACAGTAAACTTCCAGTATTTGAGGTATTTAATTTTGGCCGGTTTATTGAGAGTGCTGGTTCATAAGATGCCGGTAAAAACATAGTTTGCTATATTTCAATTTATTTAGTTGACCACTTCCATTTGCAAGGACTTTGATTGCAATAAAGCAGTCATTCCAGACAAGTATCCACTTGCCAATACTGTAATGGATAGATGCATCTGCAGCCGGCAAATTAGTCAGATAGGTTTCTTCCCTCTTATCGGATCCTTCACCATCTGCCACAGGACCCGACCAGCTCGATCAGTAGTCTTGCTGCTGAGCCACTCTTTGTGGTGAACATTGAAATCCCCCACCCGAGAGTACATTTTCACCTTTGCAATCCTCAGTGCTTCTTCCAAGTATTGTTCAACCATTGTGCTGCCGTCTCTGCTGGGTCTGCCCTGCTGGTGGGACAGGACATATCCAGGAATGGTGGTGTTTTGGGACATTTGTATGTCAGGTATGATTCCCTAAGTTTGGACTGTATCTGGCTAGTGCTTGACTAGTCTGTGAGACTGCTCACCCAATTTTGGCAGATGTTAGTAAGGAGGACTTTGTGGGGTCGACAGGGCTGTTTCTGCCGTTGTCTGTTCCAGTGCCTAGGTCAATGTCGGGTGGTCTGTCCAGTTTAATTTCCTTTTTCTTGAGACATCGTAGAGACTGATACAACTGAGTGACTTGCTAGGCCGTTTCAGAAGGTAGTTGAGAGTCAACCACATTGCTGTGGGTCTGGAGTCACATGTAGGCCAGACTAGGTGCGGGTGGCAGATTCCTTCCCTGAAGGACATTAGTGAACCAGATGGATTTTCCAACAATCGATGATAGTTTCATGGTCATCAGTAGATTATTAATTCCAGATATTTTTATCAAATTCAAATTCCACTATCTGTCGAGTTGGGATTTGAATCTAGATCCCCAGAACATGAGCAGAGTTTCTGGATTAATAGTTCAGCGATAATACCGCGAGGCCATTGCCTCCCCTCTTGTGAAGGTAGGTTGTCGCAAGACATGATTGAAAGAGCAGTGGGGAGTTTTTGCTGGTGTCCTAGCCAATGTTTATCATTCAGCCAACATTACAAAAACAAATTATCTTGTCATTACTTTACACCTTAGTTTAGGGGACCTTTGTGTGCAAATTGGCCAGTGCATTTCTGATTATGAAACCAACTTTTGTTTTGGACTAAAAATGGAAAAGAAATTGCTTTAAACGAAGGAAACTGTGAGAAGACGTTTGCAGTTTTAAAAACGAGTTGCTGGAGCACACTGAATTATATCTATAACATTGCCTTATTGAAGCAATGAAGGAGAATTCTAGACAGAATAGCATCACCTGTGTGATCAAGGTAATTTTGCCCAGAGAGTATTTCGAATGGCTTGTCAATTGGGACTAATTGTTGTAGGCTCAGGAGGGCTCAACATAGCACCAACCACTTGACTGATTCCTTGGATGCCTGCAGCCTTGGGTGTGGACAACACAGCAGAAACATCTAACCTGCAAGAAGAAAGCATCTATCTCGCATGCAGGCTCTCGCTCTCTTGTGCTCATTTACTGTTGTTTTTGTTTGTACTGTCTACCCCACCTGTGTGGCAAAGTTTAAAGAAAATTCCTTGTAGCTGCTCTCCTAAATCTTTCTTTGTAAGATGCTCTTTCTGCTAATCCCAGTTAAAAGGAAAAGAGGATCTGAGACTCTGAAAGAAAATATCCTTGACCAGTGAATGCAGAACTGAGTATTGGTGTATCTACTATATCCCATCATCAGTAAAGAGTCAGAAGAAAATGAAAGGATCCAAAGGAAGCTATTCATCAATGTTGCAAACCAGACTGATCCTGAACTGTTTTTCTGACAGTTTTTGTCTTTTACAATGCCCCCTCAATATTTTGATCTTATCTGTCTGTTTGAATGTGTATGAAAATTTTAATATGTGGTAGAGTTTTGATTATAGAATTATAAGTTCGCAATTCATGTTTTTTTTTGTCATTGATTTAAAACAGTTTGCTTACAGGAAGTAGTTATTTTCTTTTTAAAGATCAGAAACCTGATGTGCATATTCTTTGAACCTGAGTTAGACAGTCTGGTAAAATGGAACAATTTATTGGTTTAATCTTTTTCACATTGTGACAGTTCTGGGAATAGTGAGGCTTGATTTCTAGTCCGCTACCTCAGCGAGTTATGACACCATATTACATTGTTTTTTATTACTGTAATGCTGATGGCTTTGATTGAATTGTGCTATTCTATTGGCTGAGTATCCATTCATCAATTTGAATTGAAAGGAACATTTGGCATGAACCATGTTGTAACCATTGAGAAAACAAAATGAACCTAAGTGCCTTAATTCTTAAATAGCCAGAAGTATTTCACCGTGAATTACTTTGCACTTTACTAATAGCAAATGATGTCACCATGACTACCATTTTTTTCCACAGCTCTGTCTTATAAATGGCAGTGAGATGTATAACTATGTTTGCTATGTAGAATAGCATGGGAGAAATTTTGTCAGGCATGAAAAGCTCTTACTTCTCTTCTAATATTGATATGGAATTTTTAACCTGATCCAAGAAACCAGTTAGAGTTTCCTGTTTGATGTCTCATCTGGAAAAATAACACATTTGACAATTTAACATCCGTTAGTTCTGCAGTAGAATGTTAGCCATAATTATATGCTTGAGTTCCAGAACAGAATTTGAAACTTTGACTATTTTTCATTTGTATCTTTCAATACTTATCATTTATCAAAAACCAAAAGCTTCCTTAAAATGTGTGGATATTTATTTCATAGATCACGAACACGGCAGAATCCACAGTTACTGGAGGGGTTCATAGGAGAACCATGGGGATGCTCCAATAAACACAGGCCACAGCAGAAGCCTTTCAGTCAGAATAATCAGTGTGACACTTCTGAGGCCATAAAGAGCAAGGTAATATTAATTGAAGAAAAATATTTGGACTGCCTATACAGTACAAGTTAAATTTTAAGAATCAATTGATTATCGTAAATTGCAGTAACTTTAGAAAATCATTAGGGTGATTACTAGCATCTTTCCTGTATTGCATTTGTTCATGGCTTTGTTTCTCTTCATTATTCTAGGAATACAAGGTAATTATCTTAGGCAACTATTTTGGACAGGGTTAGGGTTCATTAATATTTTTACTTGAGGACGTTTATTCATGTAACTTTAATGTAGTGCAGGCACTGAGGCACAAAATTTATTTTGTCATTTTGGCTACATTTCCGACTGCTTGAAATTTTACTCGCTTTAACTAGCTGAAGCTTGATATCCGCATCCATATAATTCCCTCTCAGTTCCTTCAGCTCCCTACCACAGGTTTGAGCCCTACTCAAAAGACCAGGCCTGGTCTTGATAAGTCTTCCTGCCACCTTCACCACCTTCCCGCTACCCTTCCCACCTTCCTGCTTGCATTCTTATAAAGTATGTTGAATATTTTTAAAAAACTCCTTTACAACAGGATTTTTATTGTTAAAGGAAAGGTACATAATTAAACAATCTAGTATTTTAAGTTATCTTTAACAATTTTATGCAATAATTTTAAGCAGTAGAATTACAAGGCTTAAGAATTGTGATACGAATTTCAAAAAGTTTTATTTGAAATGGAAAACATACCAAACACAAGTAATACAGGAAATTATGGATTCTAGTTTGTGTTTGAGCAATGCCACTTTCCTTAAAATATTGGCACAGCACTATCTGCTGTGTCTCTGGAAGGACATTAATTTCTATACCAAGGATATCTTTCCAGAGACGGTCTTGGAGTTAACAACATATTGTTTTAAATTTTTTAAACTTTGTTTTCATTTTTTCTCTCTGCATCTTCAAGAAATATTTATAACTGGTTAACTACAAAATTACAAATGGTGACTGACAGGAAGAGATCCTTCATCCAACCAGTCTGTGAAACTTTGGCCATCACAATAATTGCTCCCATGCAAGCCAAAGCCATGTGATCTGGGACAGGTGAAAAATTGTATTTTCAAAAAAAAAACCAGGCCAGTTGGAGAATTTCCACCGATTCCCTTGGGTAATTAAAACTAGCTGTGATTTACTGTGACCCTGAAAATTCTCTTGCAGTACCTAGCTTTTGTACAATGCAATTTTCTCCCCACTCAGAAATGGTCTCGTTTACATTTAGTGCAATTCATTGAATTGGAATTCACTACACAAGCCAGCAGCCACAGTTGCCTGGGAGAATAATTTAGATCTGGCCTTACACAGCCTAAAGTTCTGACTGCTCATCCTCCCAAGCCTATTTATTGAGAACTGTAAATTCTCATTTTACCTATTTTCTTTCAGTTGATAACACTCGTCCCTGAGAAACAGAAAGTTGTGGCTTAGAGCCCTCATCTGGGTCTTGAGTGCAACAATCTAGGCTGCTACTCCATAGCAGTTCTGGTTGAGTGCTGCACTAGATGAAATATTAAACTGATACTTCACCTGCCCTCAGATGTAAAAATTCTTTGGCGTTTATTTTGAAGAACAGGGGAGTTATGTCTGATGACCTGGCCAGTTGTCTTCCTTTGATCAATGAGTTTCTGGTCATTATAAGTTTCTGCTTGTGGAATGTCCAAATAGACTGTAACATTTCCTACATGGAATGTCATTGGGTGTAAGTCTTTTTGGATTCTGATGGCTATGGAAGTTGCTGTATAATCACAGGTCTTTCTGGGGAAAAAATACTATGACTGTATTATCCTCCACTAAATCTAAAGAAACCATCCCAGAATGCAATGAGATGTTGGAAAATTGAGATGAGGGCTTTGCACAACAGCTGTCATCTTGCCATACGCTTTTAGCTGGATATCGTAGGACAAAACTGCCATATCTATTTTCAAATTCATAATTCTACTTAAAACAGTGTGTTCATCTAAATTTATTTCTAATCAGCCTGTATGGGCATGTTATGACATACCTCTGGGGCAGGTGGGACTTGAATTCAGACATTCAGGCACAGAAATATGAACACTACTACTGTGCCAAAAGACCCTGGTATGTTCATGTATGTTATCAGTTTAACAACGTAATTAACATCTAACAGTCAAGTACCTGTATCATTTTCAAAAGTGATGACTACACTGTAGTCATTTTATATTTCTCAAAATAAATGGTGCAGATATCTTTATTTGTACGAAATTTGCTCTGCCAGTAGGCAAAATATTTTTAAATGGAAGGAAGCAAGTGATCTCTGGTTTATTTACATAGTACACACGAACTTCTGTTCCATTTTTAGTCCCATAATGTCAGGGGTAATGGCAGAAAGCAATATCAAGACACTCCAAACCAGAAGAAGAAGCCTAATGGAGTAAACAATCAGCAAGTCAAACAATTTCAGATATTGGTGAGTATTTGTTATATTTTTAATCGAAATTCTGAATTGCTCTAGTGTAAGCAAAAGGTATTAGTGATAAGGAACAAAGTATGTTTATAATTTCAATATAAGCATTTGTGTCTTATTATTAAGGAAAAACCTCTCTTCGAAGTCAGCTATGTAGGAAAGTTAGAATCATTCATTTTTGAAACATTTCAGGTCTGTATCTCACTTTATTAAAATTGTTGGGGTGTTTCAGCACTCTTAATTATTTTAATTTAGGAATGTGGGAAAGAACACAGTAAAGACAGTGGCTACAAGAGCAGGTCAGAAGCTAGGAATGCTGCGACGAGTAACTCATGTCCTGACTCCTCAAAGCTGGTCTACCACCTACAAGGCCAAAGTCAGGAGTCTGATGGAATACTACCCACTTGCCTGGATGACTGCAGCCCCAACAACACTCAAGAAGCTTGACGCCATCCAGGACAAAGCAGCCCGCTTGATTGGCACTACATCCACAAGCATTCATTCCCTCCACCCCCAATGCTCGTGTGTACTATCTACAAGATGCACTGCAGAAATTCACCAAAGATCCTCAGACAGCACCTTCCAAACCCACAACCACTTCCATCTAGAAGGACAAGGGCAGCAGATATATGGGAACACCACCACCTGCAAGTTCCCTTCCAAGGCACTCACTATCCCGACTTGGAAATATATCAACATTCCTTCACTGTTGCCGGGTCAAAATCCTGCACTTCCCTCCCTAATGGCATTGTGGGTCAGCCTACAGCAGGTGGATTGCTGTGGTTCAAGAAGGTAGCTCGCCATCACCTTCTCAAGGGCAGCTAGGGATGGGCAATAAATGCTAGCCAGCCAGTAACACCCACATCCCACAAATAAATAAAAGAAACATTGGAACAGGAGTATGCTATTTAGCCCTTTGAGCTGTTCTTTCGTTCAATTAGATTGTGGATGTTCTCTATCTCCATTCCAAGGTTTTTTTTTGTCGAGGTGCTATGCTTATATTTTCTTGGCATTTCCACAAACTTCTTAAAATATTTCTTGGAAAGATATGGTTTTTGTTGTTTGAATGAAGGCCAATATTAAAATTTAAGGATGCTATTTTATCAAAAGTACTGTAATACTGCTTACAATGTATTGGTGTCATACAGCATCAGGAGGGTGCAGATTTGATCGGTGGCACATGGAATTTGTTTATTAGAGCGAAGTAATGCCAAAGGCATTAAAATTGGTCTGTGCTTTCTCTGGATTAGACAAAAGAAAACAGTTGACTTTTTTATGCTCAGTGGTGTAAATTTCCTTGTACTGGAAGTGTGACCATGAATACAGCATTAGCCTTCGTTTTGATTCCATGCCATAGTATTGTCAGATTCTCATTGTCTCCACTCATTGGTGTTTAATCTTTAGTTGAGGTGCTAAAAGAATTCTGGAAATTTGGAAAATTTGTCCCCATATGCATTATTATCTTTAGGAGAGAAAGGGTGAAATGTCAAAATCCTTGTTTAAGCTTGTGATGAATCTTTTGGTCTCTACTGCTGATTCCTTCAAACAAATAGAGGGCAACGTGCAATGCTCAAGAACAAATTTATCCAGGAAGCATAAATCCCTTAAGGCAACCACTCTGTATTGGATTCCTGTTTTCCTGTCTGTTTCATTTTGGGAGGTTATGTATATTTATTCATACTTTAATACAAGCTGGCTGTGTTTGGATCATATGTTCGTGCAGAATTGAACCATTTGTTATTAAATACTTCAAAACCTTTTTGAACCTTCATAAACTTCCTGCAGTTCTCTTCCAAAAATAAAATCTTGTTTTAAAAAGTAGTCTGAAGTTAAACATCTAGATCAGTTATGAATATATGATACTTTTAACAACAGTTTATGAAGGTGAAGGTAAACAACAACTTGTGGGCGCTTGCATTAATGCCCAGGTTGACTCCTCTAACACTCCTCCTCCTATGTAACTACACTCCTCCTCCCCCTCTGTTGTGACATCTTAGTGGTATGTCCATAATGTCTCAATAGCCAATTGTTAGTAAACTTCAGGGTTTTTTTGTTTTAAATCTTTTAGAAACCCGATAAAAAGCTTCAGCCAAGACGATTACAGGACAATTTTGAAACAGGTAAGACCATTTTGTAAAATGTTTTCAAAGTTACAAATGTATCACGTTTCTTAGTGCTGTTATGCAGAATATGATGCTGATGAGAATTTTGTTTTCTAGTTATAAAAGTAATCTTTTCTTTTCCCCCCCCCCCCCCCCCACTTAGATGCAGTCTGTGAACTCTGCAGTTCTAATCAGCTCCTAGAATACACTGGGACATGCATGTCGGGGTCTGACCCTTCTGATTCCTGCAGCGGACACTCCAATTTTAGTTTCTCATCCAGAGCCTTTCTCAGCTTCAAATTTGATCGTGATGCAATTATGAAATGCTTTGACCTATGACGGCATGTTGAGCCCTGATGTGAAAGGATCACGAGGTTACAGAGAACAAGTGCAAGATCAAGGAAAAACTCACCTTTTGACCCTTGAGTGTTGCAGACTCCTATGGATTTTAAAAAGTACAGTGTGAAGTTTTAAAAGTGGGCAGGAATAAATAAGATGAGGTCATGTTTAATGCAGTTTAGCCTTTGTACACAAGCAACCTTTTTGGTATTTGAAATTGGCCATTGGTTTTCTTTTTAGTAGATTAGTGCAATACTGGAAAGGAAACATTTTTAACACTTTTTGTAAATAATCTTTCCCTTTCTCTCTGGATTCCATCCCCATTAGTTAGTCTTGGATATGACACTTTAAGCAAATGAAGGTTATCAGGCGTTTTGGAGTGGATGTTTGGAAAGATAGAATGGATTGTTGCAGTATTAGGCTTTTGTTTTATGCAGTTTAATCAATTACATTTACAGTAATATCCATGCTGTTGTTATTCATGTAATTATACTGTAGATATTTGTTCCTCTCTATTGTTCTACTGGATGTTTAATATGGTCTTTGGTGTTGCTTTAGTTACAGGATAATAAGCTGTTTCTGGTATTTGTTCCAGACCTAGTCATATTACTTTTTTCTTTGCTTCAGTTTATATGTTTTAAAGTTTCAAGGAAAATCATTCTGTACCTGGATCAGATCTATGTTAATAGGGAAAATGGGAGGCTGTTGAGTCTCTGTGAGAATACTACCTTCATCCTTTCACTCACAGTCCATTAATGATAGATTGTATAGAATTTCTTGACCTCTTAGTTCGAACATATTAGTGACTTATCAACAAAAAAAAATTGAAACCCACTGAATTCCTTGACTGCTTAATGCTTTATTAAAAAGGAGCATGTGGCTAGATGACGCATTATATGTGAGAGCTCACAGATCTTGACCCTGAACTCTGGAGATCTGAAGGAATGATAATTTGTTGTTGTAAATTCAAACTTTAATCTCCATCACAGAAATTTACTCAAATTTGTTTTGGAAATAGGCTTGGCAGGGTGAAGGCTGTTACTCAAAGAGTAATTTCAAGTTCTTTTCCAGCTAACACGCCTATTTAGTAGACATGCGACCTTAACTGCAATCCTATAAAAGAAACCTCAAAAGTCATGATCTATTTCCTTGTTGTCAGTTGTATACCCCAAAATCTGTCTCTCAAATTGATTGATTATAAATTAATTTTATATTTTGAGAAATTTAGAATATTCCTGCTTATCCTGCTCAACTTCTCTGTGGAACACTACAATGCATGTACGTAGTGTAGAAGCAGCATCCAACTAAATTATGATGGTAAACTGTTTAATGAAAGTAACAATCCTTTGTTAAGCTTTATAACCTTATAAAAACAATAAGGTTTTAAATCTGTGACAATATTGTTATAAAAATGATACATTTGTTTGTCCTGTTTTCATCTCATCCCAGTGGAACAGTTTGAATGAAGTGGATGATAAAATTTTGTATGAGATTGTTTTGAGCTCTCATGGAAAATAAAACCAATTTGCATTAGAATAGAATTCTTGGGTGGGGGTCTATTTCAAAACTGAATACAAGTCCTACATTCTGATGGTAAATTTTCAGCTTTGGGTGCAATTTGGTCATTAATTATGCCAAAGATTGTACTGTTTTTGGGACTCGGTTATAGACCAACGGGTTTATTTGAAAGCACATGCTTTCGAAGCTCAGCTCCTTCCTTGGGCGTGACTGAGCCGGAGGAAGGAGCTGAGTTTCGAAAACTTGTGTTTTCAAATAAACCTATTGGACTATAACTTGGTATTGTGTGATTTTTGACCTCTTCTACCCCAGTTCAACACCGGCGTCTCCACATCACAGCTATTTTTGGGAAATCATTTTGCTCAAACTCACTCCCATTTTGACAAATATGAAATCTCCCTTGAAGTAGTGGAATTGGACAACATTTTGGGATGTATCTGTTTTTAAAATTTCTATACGTAACCTAGAGTGGTAAATGGAGCAGTTTGAATATATGGTTTAAAATTATTCATAAAAATAATTCAATCTGTTCACCAGGTATGAATAATTTGATCTTAAATATATTCAGAAGCTATTTATAATGGAGTACCATAGTCATTCATAGTATGTGAAGAGGAATTTTTCCAAACCTTTTGCAAGATGTTTATTAGTGTCCTTTCATCCAAAAGAACAAGCTTAAATTTTTAGAGTTCATGTCACAACTCATTATTCCCAGAGCTGTCAAGAATATGAAAAGATTTAATCAATCTATCCAGAGTCCCCACTTTATCTGACTGATTAATTCAGTTTAAAAGAAAACACTGTCCAGATTTCTGTACTTAACAAGAAACTAACAATTTATGATGAATATATTGTCTTTAACCAATGGCAGTTACGAAATGTGAATTGCTAACTTATAACTGTAAACTTAAAGTCTATCCTTTCTTAAATACCCTTTTCACAAACAGACAGACACAAAGACATACAAAATATGATATTAAGGATGGATAAAAACAGGGAAACGCAGTTCGATAACATTAGTCTGGACCACAGTATTTAACAAGTTGCTTTCTTTCTTTTCCTTTCAATTCCTTTCTACTTCTTTGCTGTTGACATAAGGTTGTTTGCCACAGTATGCTATTTTACATTAACTGGTTAAGAATTCATCCTTTCCCTCTCTCTTTTTAAAGGTGTTTGATTCCTCTTTCAATAGGGGATTTGTAGCGAAAAGTGAGTGGAAGATAGCTAGCTGTTACTCCACATGAAAGAGAGACATACAGATTTATGTTTTCTCTTTGCAGGCTAAGTAGCTGTTTGCTGCACCAACTCCACACAAGCCATGATCATCTGATTAAGAGCAAATCAAACTATTGTTGTTGAACAGTTTTCCTTTAATTCAGACCCATTGGCTCTGTGCTGTGTGCTTTTTACTTTCCCCTGGACCAATGAGAGCAGCATTGTATGTAACCCATTGTGCTCCAGTAAATGTGATTTTTAAAACTGCACTATTTCTTTACACAATTTCGTTGGTTTAAAGCAGTAACTCGTTTTTTTTTGTCTACAGTCCAACAATAAAAGAAATAAAGTGATGTTGTCTTTACATTTCCTTGATGGGATTCCAACAAGTGCAATTAGTAGAAGCATCCAATGTGATTGATTGAATATGAGCGTGTGATAAGTTTAGCAATTACGATGTTGTTTTTAAAGTAGCACAAAGAATGGAACTCAATTTGAGTTTAATATTGTGCAATTTTTCATGCTGGTTTCACTGATTTTGAGTGAGCTGTGCTGAAAAATACTCTGGCTCCGTCTTTATTTTAAAATTGTGATGCTAGGTATATTTAAAGTGTCATGGGCAAACATCACTAAGTGTTTTTTTTAATCTGGGTAGGTGAAGCAGCTGTGCTAGTAATTAGTTTTTAATTTTAGAAGCTTAAGGGCAATTTATCTGAAATGTTGTCCAAAGATACAACAAAAGCACTGAATTATAAAAGTAAAATTCTAACTTGTTAAATACTGTTTTATTAAAGCATCAACTATTCAAAATATAAAGTAAATCTGCTTTAAGTTTTTAAAAAAAGACTTGATCCCACAGCCTTCTCCAGTTTTCTCCAAATTACTTCACTTTGGATAATGTCCAAACAAATTTTATAATAGAGACCTTCTCAGCACAAATTATTGTATGTGATATAACAAAATTTGTATTAGATATGTCAAAATTATTGTGTAGTAACATTTTATGATATTTTAGATAGGTTCTAGTGTTTGTCGTTCACATTGATATATTTATTGGCTCAATATCGCTTCAACACAGCCTTCAAGTGTTAGTTGGTGAAATTAACCTTAGCATATTTGTAATTGGAAATCTCTAATACTGCTGTTTAGCATTGTTAGAAAAGTAAGCCCCAATTAAGTGTGTAATAAGAATATCAATTCATTTCATACAATCAGTTAAACTGGAAAATTTAAAAAGTCTATCTCCTACTTATATGGAAGCACCATTTGTACCATTTGAGGCCAACAGCACAGTTGCTTATACTGACAACTGAAGTGCAGCCTTGTTGAAATGCGAAGAAAATCTCTTGTTGCCCTGCACGTCCCCCCCCCCCCCCCCCCCCCCCCTCCACATTATAGCAGGCAAGTAGTCTGATCCCATGATTGGATCTTTGCTACTTTTTTGTGTGCACCAGGAAACATTCTTCCTAATGTGTGCTTGTCCAGAGTGATTACCTTGCCACCCAACTTTTTGACCCTTCCACTTTCTTTGATTTGCCATGTTACCTGCCTGACACCCAGATCTGGATGATCAGACATTTTTCTCCATTAAAATATTGGAAGAATTGAAGCCACTGCCTTTGGTCCCTGTCCAAATGTCTCTAGTCACAGCTGTAGGATGAAACTTAAAAACTAACTGTTTTCAAGCTTTTGCCATCCTATAGCCTCTGTGTGAGCTCCTGACATTAACCTCTCCATCACCCAGATTGCCTATTTCCATCAGTATGATAGTGCACCTCTATGACCTGCTTCAACTGGCCTGTTGCATGCACTATTGTTACTCCTGCTTTTATTATCTATAGAGTCCACTATTCCAATGTTTACCTCTGTTTCCAACCTTATATATTCATTAAATTTGATCTCGTCCATGTCTCAACTTGCACTAATACCATTCACCAGTCGGTTCTCTGCTTGCTGTCCTGCATTGGCTTCAATTGCATGTTTCAAATGTAAAATTAACAGTTTTATTTTTAACCCTTTCTTACCTCTAACCTACTTGTCTTCCAGTTCTGGTTCTTTGTGCATCTCCGATTTTCACACAATTGCTGACTATGCCTCAAGTTCCCTGAGCCCCAAGCTCTGGAATCTAGTCCCGAAACTCTCCATACCGCTTTCTTCCTTGTGTGACTTATTTTCAAATGCTGTTTGATAAAGCTCCTGTGAAGCACCTTGCAATGTTTTCACTGTGTTAACAGTGCTATTTAATTATACAGAAATAGAGGATGGGGGAAAGCTATTTTCCCATTTTCCCTTACTATATTCTCTGACAACACCCTATCTTGGATATCAGAATATATCCATCATGGATGATAGATGAAAAGTAAAATTGTTTTTCCACAGAACTATACTTTGATCTCTGTGTCTAAATTAAATATCCCTTCATTTGAAATCTGTGAATACGGTACAGGCTATTTTCCTTCTAATCATTTTTTTCTTCTGTGTAAACCTCTGAGTGACTTCTAAAACTGAAAGTTGATGCTGGGAACAGCATCAGTACGCCAGTCGGCATGTGCAGACCCATAAAGCACAGTTTAAAGGGAGTGTTCCTCTCGGGTTTGAATTCAATTAACATATCTGGTGGTTCACTCATTGGAGAGAATTTTGATCATTGTTTAACATGTGGTAATAATGAGATCTTGGTAGTAAGTATAGAAGCAAAGTGCATTCTTTTTGTATACTTTAAATGTCTCTATATGATAGACTTCGAATAACGTAACATCTATTCATGTTGTGGTTGTATTTTTTAAACAGACTTTAGAAAGTTTCAAAATTGAATCAAGACAATTAATAGAAATTAAATTGAGTCTTTATAACTTATGGAACAGTTTGAGTAGGTTATAATGGTACAAATGTTTTATAAAATGGAACTTAAATGCAGACTTGTAGTGAAATCTCAATGAAACTTACCCATGATTTTACTTTTTAAAAGTCAAAGTGATAATTACTAGATAATTGTGAACTTGAAGATCCTGTGCAAAGGAACTCCAATTTAGAATAATCTGTGGATTATAATTTTTTGGTGTTTGCTTTGTTATATTTTAATGCCATATCTCCATAATATCATTTGAATTAATTTGTAAAGTGCTCAGACAAATCATCATTTTTAGTGCAGAACTATATCTTTTAAATGTTTTTTTTAAAAACTAATGTTTTAATTTAATAATTTGACATATTTTCTCACCTACCTTGAAAACTGGTGAAAGACAAAATGAGTCATGGATGTTCTTCTTGTTTTAGGCAATAAATATGTAAGCTGAGTTTTATTTGTTGTGATGCAACCTAGTAAGCATCTTATTTTTGTAATTTGTAGAAATCCATTTTGAAGAACTGAACCAATTACAAATTATTTTGCATTGAGATTTATCTATGGAACATCTAATGCTTTCTGCTTTCTAGAAGAACAAATAATTCTGTATTTTGTTTTTCAATTGTGTTTATGGAAGATTAGTAATATTGACTTCTAAGTTTAAAGGATGACTGCAGCGGTTCAAGAAGGCAGCTCACCACCATCTTCTCAAGGGCAACTAGGGATGGGCAAGAAATTCTGGCCAGCCAGTGACACCCACATCACACAAATGAGTAGAAAAAATACTATCCTTACTGTATTTTAGAGTGCAGTCAGAATGCAAACAGCACTGGATAATTGGTTATTGCAAATTTGTAGTCAAGTTTGAGTAGCTTCATTGAAAAGACTGTCTAATTCTAGCAAAGAACTATAATTCGGAGATAAACCTTTTTTCTTTCTTTTTGATTTTGATATTTTAATTCAAAGGCTCCTCATGCTCTCCAAACATAAAGAATTCTTAGTCCAAATGTCACAGCACACAATGCTTTATGGACTGGACAAACAATTTTTTAATAGTCTTTCATGTGATGACAGCATTGCTGGCAAGGCCAACATTTATTGCCCATCCTGAGTTGACTTTGAGAATGTGGTGGTGAACAGCTGCTTTGAACCACCACAGTCCATCTGGTGTAGGTATTTCCCACATTCTGATCCAGCATCGGAGAATGAAGGGCAATATAGTTCCAAGGTAAGATGGTGCACGGTTTGGAGGGGAGCTTGCAGGTATGGTGTTTCTCTGTGCCTATTCTCCTGTCCTACTTGATAAATGTTGCAGGTTTAGAAGATTCTGTCAAAGAAGCCTTGGTGAATTACTGCAGTGTATTTGAATATACAACACCCTCTACCACTGCATCAGTGGTGGAAGCAGTGAATATTTAAGATGATGAATGCAATAGTGATCAAGCAGACCACTTTGGCCTTAATGGTGTTGAGCTTCTTGAACATTGTTGGAATGACACTCATCTAGGTGTGTGGCAAGTAGTCAGTTGCACTTGTCATGCTCTCTGACCTGTATTCGCAGCTATATCTTTTCCCCCAGAAGGCTAATAGATAGCAATCTTAAGACAATTGTATGTCAAGAGGACATAGATTCTTCTGTTGCAAAACACAGCAGTAATTTTTTTACTTTAGTACAAAGATGAAATATTGCTCCTAGTAATGCACAAAATGTATATTTCAACTCAGTACTAAAGCAGAATGACATTTACTTTCACTAATTCAAGTGAATTAAAAACAGTTTTCGTTTAAAATAATGATTGCTTTAGAAAATGGTGTCGATTTGTAGTGCACAACCCCAGTATGTTGTTTGTATGATTGGGTTAAGGATAGTATCAGTTGGATACAGTTCAAGATGGACTGCTGTTAAATTGAAATGAACTGACTGAATTGCAAGTTGAACCCAGTAACTATAACTGCTTTAGTGGCAATGTATGCAAGTAAATACAATGTGTCCCTTCTGTCATTGAACCAATGAAGCCAGTGCGAGATGGATATATTGATACAAAAATAAATGTTGCAATTTGAAGTGGTAAATGAGTCTGTTACAGCATCAGTGCCTGATCAAACACTTTTCACAGTTTTGTTTTTATTTCAAAAGTGATGTATATAAATGATCATTAAATTGATTTCTAATTTCTGGCACATAAGTCATCTTTAGCTTTTTAAAGTGACTTTGTCTTTGAAACAAAGGACGTCTTGAAGCTGGCAAAGAGGAACATGATAGAATTAGCACATTGCATACGAAGTCTTTCAAAACTCAGATTGCATTAACTATAAATGTATTTAAATCTGAATGTTATTGGGTTTGTTTGCTTTTATGTTCTATTTTCATTGGTCACTTGTTCATTTTATATAACACTGATTAGTATTTTAGCTTTGCTTTACATTTTTATGTAATATGTAAATAATTGTGCTGTAAATTGTGTTCATTGGTTGGTAATTAACTTTTATACTAAAATTGTTTGAATT